GTCCTATGTGTGGCATTCTGCATTGGGCAGTGGATGCAGGACAGGAGATCTTCAAATAAATCTGGTGGAATACAAAATACTGAAAAAAAATCAGCCTAAATCCTGTGTATTCCTTCCCTTTGAGAACATATATGGATAATGTATGAAGTTTCAAAAGAGAAAATGTCTATTGGGTCATGGTTTCACCAATGAAATTGTCACATCACATAACATTTTGAATTTTGCTTTCACACTTACTCCTGTACCGGGACTGAGTAAAGCAGAATGCAGAGTAAGACTGTTCAATAGATGTGCATTCCATAAGTGGTTTTAAAACCAGTGAAACCCTTTGGACTTAGTGTTTGTATTTTATTGGTTGATTTATTTTTCAAATTGTTTGTTTTACTCTTTTTAACTGTGAGTCAGGGAAGCCCTCACTCATAGTGATTTAGACCTCTCCAAAAGCTCTGAAAGTATTCATGTAACAGCTATTACATGTTATAAGTTTCTCCTATTAAAAAGTGAAAGACTAACAGACTCTGCTACTTTTTATGTAAATTCAATGTTGGGCTAAATTCAGTGATGGACTTTTTACAAGTCCTTTGAAATGTGTCCTACTCTAGCCACTGGTCGTGCTGGAATTTACTTTCTTGTGAAGACAGGATTTGAGCAAATTGACACAAGTACAGTTTGCCACTATTCTGCACGCCTGGTTAAGTATGGAGTTCCCTAAATGGTGTGTGTTTTATTTTGATCTCTGCTCACACTTTGCTCATCCAGTTAGAACCACAGGGCTCCAGGCCATAGCGTTCCAGGCCTAAACAAGAAAATTTTCATTCCGTTTTGGGAGTTCATTCCTCTTTCATAATTACTTTTTCCACAAATGTGTGCTTAAGGAGAGGCCCTGTACAAATGTGGAGAGGCCCATTTTCATTCACTCACTTTCAGACTTTCTAAGATTTTCAGTTACTAGAGGTTTGCCCAGACTTGCCATTGTCAAGGGACAGTGCACTTCACTTGAAGTTGTGCAGTATTACTTCATGGGTCTCCATGGAAATTCCACCAATGGGAAACTCTTGTTGTAGTCTTCGCCAAGTGTTGCTTCGTAAGAAAATATAACTAACAAAGGATGTGTTTTCAAGCAGAATGAGGAAAGGAGAGATTATCTTTATTTCAGTGCAGGTTGACCTTTCAAAGAAACAGTAATTCCTATCAAATAGGAGGTAAAATCTTTTGTAAAGAGACATGGAAATGACACGCTCAACTTTATGTCACTTTTTTAAAACGCCAAGGGCATTTGAGAAATTCTTGGCTGCTGAATTGTCCCTTTTTTCAAATTTCTCTTAGGTAAGACACACCAGCTTCTTCAAACAATGGTACTGTTCCTTCCATGTAAAAAACCAAAGGAAAAAACAAAATAAATTAAAACAAAACCCATGAAATAACGTTTGAGAGCACACAATTGCTCAGCAGGCCCATGTAAACACTATTCAAGAAGCTAGAGTTACAGAAGCCTCAGCCTTCAGCCCATGGCCTGAAGTTTTGTCTCTATCATGGCCCCTCAATTCCCTGGCATGTCCACATTAACTCATGAATCTTTACTCATTTCCTTTTCAAATGCACAGGATCCAATATATTTGAACCCTGTTCACCTGGGCTGTAATCATCCAAGTACACACCAGAAGAAGGGCAGCCACCCCCTTGCCTGGGGCCTTGGAGCTTATCACAATAGAAATGGACACCTGAACAAGGGGAGCCAAAACAAAGAGAGGCATATTCCTAAAGCCTGAAGCACAGAAGCTACCTATAGACCAGTAGTGGGATTTCACAAATTATGTAAGAATCTCTGTAAACATGCTTGGCATGGTCGCTCATGCCTATAATGCCAGCCATCTGGGGGCTGAGGTGGATGGATCCTTGGGAGTTCCACTCCATCTCAAGGCCTCTTTCAACAACTACATAAGAAATACACAGGCTTGTGGTTGTCAGGCAACCACGCTCGGCTGAGATTGGCTGAACATCACTGTGAGGTGGATTTTAGGCTCTAGGTGTGAAAATTTAAAAGACTGCTGTAGTCAATTTGGAACCCATAGACCTCAGAGATACCAAAAGCTTTTCCATTTACTTCCCTCCACTTCTCAAAATATGTCAAATTTTGTTGATCACTACAACTGTAAAAAAAATTCTGAGGCAACATAGAGAGGCTAATCAAATACTGCATGATTGGAATTGCTGTGGTTGTATGAGGTGGTGTGAGAGTTGACCCCCTGCTATAACCCCCTCCCCGAGTTATAAAAAGCAGCAAAGAATGTTTCACTCCCTAAACCTTTCCCAGCAGATAATCAGAGCAGGGCAGGAAGGAATGTCTCTGCTAGTCATTAGCCACTAGATGTTCTCTTCTCTGTAAAGATAGAGATAAGTAAAAGAATGTGCTGTTTAAACAGGACCGGGGTGCACCTGGCACTCCAAGGTCAAACCAAGACCCTCGGTCTCCATGGTTACTCAGCCCCAGACCCTCAAATCAGCATCAGCCAAGTCCTGCACCGTTCAAAATTAACCAATGCGATTCGCTTCTGTAAACTTGCTTGCCTCCCGCTTGTACCCTTAAAAACCCTACACAAATTCCCCTCGGGGCCCCTCTGTACTCGTTTGCCTGGGGGACCCCATGCGCATGGAAATAAACTTTTTTTCCTCACCAAGAGTTGAGTCCTTGGGGTCTCTTTCCCTGCGGCGTTGGCCCTAACATCATGGAGGTCCCATCGAGATAAGCACGTCTCACTGGAGGTGACCCCAATGGCTCTGCGGGTGAGTACGACTGGTCACTTCTCATTCCACCGGTGTTTACGCCCCGAGCCATACGGCTCCGATCTAGGGGCAATTTTTGTTATCTGTTTCGTACTCTGTTGCTTGGGAAGCAAACCTGCAAACCATACATGCAGTCTCTGCTGGATTACTGCCACCATGGTAGTATTAGTTAGCACTAAATGCCAGCAACCAGAAGATGAGTCCCAAAATGAAAGTGAATCCTTGCAGTGCATGAATATTTGGAGTGCCTGCTTCAACTATCCACCTTCCTCAGGGATCACTTGTCTGCAATCGCTATTTAAAGGAGGTCTGCAGCCATTCCAGCATAACCCTGGACACTAAACATGAGGTACTGGCTCAATACCTAAACCAACATAATGCTAGATAGCTTATCACCAGCAGGTTTTCCCAGAATTCAAATGTAACATGGTGAAAGTGAAACACTTAGAAAAGGGATGCAAATGCCCCTTTCCCTAAAAATCCCAGGTATTTTCTCATGGCATGGAATATTTGGACTCCACAACTCATGTAGTGAACCCAGGGACCTAGACTAAGTGTGTCTAGGTTTCTGTTGTCCTCTTTTTGGAAACAGCATCTTATGTAGTTTTTGAAAGAATCCTGGAGATAAATTCATAGCCCAAGATGGACTGGAACTCCCAAGGATCCATCCACCTCAGCCCCCAGATTGCTGGGATTATAGGCATGAGCCGCCATGCCAAGCATTTGCACAGAGATTCTTACATAATTTGTGAAATCCCACTACTTGTCTATAGGTAGCTTCTGTGCTTCAGGCTTTAGGAATATGCCTCTCTTTGTTTTGGCTCCCCTTGTTCAGGTGTCCATTTCTATTGTGATAAGCTCCAAGGCCCCAGGCAAGGGGGTGGCTGCCCTTCCTCTGGTGTGTCCTTGGATGATTACAGCCCAGGTGAACAGGGTTCAAATATATTGGATCCTGTGCATTTGAAGAGGAAATGAGTAAAGATTCATGAGTTAATGTGGGCATGCCTGGGAATTGAGGGCCCATGATAGAGACAAAACTTCAGGCCATGGGCTGAAGGCTGAGGCCTCTGTACCTCTAGCTTCTTGAATAGTGGGCCTGCTGAGCAATTGTGTGCTCTGAAATGTAATTTGATGAGTTTTGTTTTAATTTATTTTGTTTTTTTGCTTTGGTTTTTTACATGGAAGGAACAGTACCATGGTTTGAAGAAGTTGGAGTGTCTTACTGTGAGAGTTGACCCCCTGCTATAACCCCCTCCCCAAGTTATAAAAAGCAGCAAAGAATGTTTCACTCCCTAAGCCTTTCCCAGTAGATAATCAGAGCAGGGCAGGAAGGAATGTCTCTGCTAGTCATTAGCCACTAGATGTTCTGTTCTCTGTAAAGATAGAGATAAGTAAAAGAATGTGCTGTTTAAACAGGACCGGGGTGCACCTGGCACTCCAAGGTCAAACCAAGACCCTCGGTGTCCGTGGTTACTCAGCCCCAGACCCTCAAATCAGCATCAGCCAAGTCCTGCACCGTTCAAAATTAACCAATGCGATTCGCTTCTGTAAACTTGCTTGCCTCCCGCTTGTACCCTTAAAAACCCTACACAAATTCCCCTCGGGGCCCCTCTGCACTCGTTTGCCTGGGGGACCCCATGCGCATGGAAATAAACTTTTTTTCCTCACCAAGAGTTGAGTCCTTGAGGTCTCTTTCCCTGCGGCGTTGGCCCTAACATCATGGAGGCCCCAGCGACATAAGCACGTCTCACGGGAGGTGACCCCAATGGCTCTGTGGGTGAGTACGACTGGTCGCTTCTCATTCCACAGGTGTTTACGCCCTGAGCCATACGGCTCTGATCTAGGGGCAATTTTTGTTATCTGTTTCGTACTCTGTTCCCTGGTGACTGGGGGACGCCCCACATGGTTTCCGTGGCTCACCGTCTGCGATAGGGCCTCCCTATCGATCTGGGGAATTTTGATTCCCAATCTGTGGTCCGTCCGGGCCAATTTGGAGACACCCTTTGAGGTGACTCATCTGGGGGATTTTGATTCCCAGTCTGTGGTCCATCCGGGCCAATCTGGAGACACCCTGTAAGGTGTCTCATTTGGAGTGAAACTGATGCGTATGCATGTGAATGAAGTGGCCTGCCTGATTGTCTTGTGTGTCGTGGGTGCTGTGATTGGTTATTTGTTGTACCGCGCTTGCGTTAACCGCCCTGTGACAATAGAACATCATGGGACAGTCGACCTCATCCCCATTGTCCCTCACCCTTGACCATTGGTCGGAGGTGCGGAAGAGGGCTCACGATCTCTCCTTGCAGGTCAAGAAGAATAAGTGGCAGGATTTCTGCTCGACTGAGTGGCCTACTTTCTCTGTGGGATGGCCACCAGAGGGGACTTTTCATCTGCCCCTCATCCTAGCAGTTAAGGACGTCATCTTCCGCCCCAGGCAAAGGGGGCACCCTGATCAGGTCGCTTACATCTTGGTATGGCAGGATCTCAGGGAGGAACCCCCATTATGGGTAAAACCCTTTCTTCCCCCTTCTGTCTCATCTGTACCAAAGCTTTTAGCTCTGAAAGGACCTCCCACTTCGGCTCCGGTCCTTCCCGAGTCTCAGCCTGATCTACCTTTACTCAACTATGACTGGCCTCCTCCTTCCCAGCTGACTCAACCTCCTCCGTACCCACTCTCTCCTCCAGCCTCCTCGTCCGGATCGAGTGCTGCTTCTCCGTCAGCCCCCTCTTCACCTGAGCTAAATCCCTCTTCTCCTCCGATACCCACGTCCCCTCTATATCCCCCACTCCCTGCAATGGCTTGCCCTGAGCCCACACCTCCGGGGCCCACGGGCCCAGCCCAGAACACTCGGAGTAAGCTACGGCCTGAGGATCCAGTCGTTACCCTCCCTCTCCGTCCCTATGGGCCCATGATAGACGATGGGACAGATGGAGGGCAGATGCCCGCTTTACAGTACTGGCCTTTTTCTACCTCAGATCTCTATAACTGGAAAAACAATAACCCTCCTTTTTCTGATGATCCTTCTAAGCTAACAGGTCTAATGGATTCTGTTATGTTCTCCCACCAACCCACATGGGACGACTGTCAACAGCTCCTAGGGGTCCTGTTCACCACCGAGGAAAGAGACCGCATCCTCCTGGAAGCCCGGAAAGCTGTTCCCGGAGAAGATGGCAGACCCACCCAGAGACCAGACCTGATCGATGACTCCTTCCCCTTAAAGCGCCCCAACTGGGACCCCAACTCACCCACCGGTAGGCAGCATCTTTCTATCTATCGCCAGACTCTAATGGCAGGTCTCCAGGTGGCCGCAAGGCGCCCCACTAATCTGGCCAAGGTAAGAGAAGTTACCCAAGGACCTACTGAGACTCCCTCAGTTTTTCTAGAATGCCTGATGGAAGCTTACCGGCGATATATGCCTTTTAACCCTGAGGAAGAAGGCCGACAAGGCTCGATAGCTATGGCCTTCATAGGGCAATCGGCCCCCGATATAAGACGTAAGCTCCAAAGGCTAGGTGGTCTCCAAGACCTAACTCTGAGGGATCTTGTTAAGGAAGCTGAAAAAGTCTACTATAAGCGGGAGACAGAGGAAGAAAAGGAGTTAGCTAGGGACAAAAGACGAAACAAGGAATTAGCTAAGGTGTTGGCCACAGTTATTCAGGGAAAACCTGAGCCAGGAAAGGGAAAGCCCACTCGCCCTCCATTAGACCCTGACCAATGTGCATATTGTAAGGAAAAAGGACAGCTGATCAAAGACTGTGAAAAGTTAAAAAAGAAACGGGCCAAAGAAGAACGAGAAAAGCAGACCTCGCAGCGATCCCGAGCCCCCATGCTCGCCCTAGATGAAGAAGACTAGGGACTTCGGGGCTCGGACCCCCTCCCCGAGCTCAGGGTAATGTTTAAAGTGGAGGGGACTCCCGTGGAATTCGAGGTCGATACGGGAGCTGTTTATTCGGCCCTACAAGCCCCCTTAGGGGCCCTTTCAACTAAGAAATCATTAGTTCAAGGGGCTAACGGGAGCAAATATCACTCGTGGACCACTGAGCGCACAGTTGACTTAGGCAAGGGAAAAGTAAAACACTCCTTTCTGGTTATTCCTGAGTGTCCTGCTCCCCTCCTGGGACGTGACTTATTAACCAAACTGGGGGCAAAGATTTCCTTTGAGCCCCAAGGACCTCAAGTGACATTCCGTAACCCAAAGGTAGGGCAACCTATGGTTACGGTGTTATCTCTAAAACTGGAAGATGAATATAGGCTCTATGACCACCAGGATCCCCAGCCTATCGCCCCAGCCTGGCTAACTGATTTTAAAGAATCCTGGGTCGAGATGGCTGGACTCGGGCTGGCAAGCCAGCAACCGCCTGTAGTGGTTACTTTAAAAACCACTGCCTCCCCTATTCGGGTTAAGCAATATCCCATTAATAGAGAAGCTCACCTAGGGATTAAGGTGCACATACAGAGACTTTTAGACCAAGGGGTATTAACTCCTTGTCGGTCTGCATGGAATACTCCGTTACTCCCGGTCAGAAACCCCGGGACGAATGACTACAGACCGGTACAGGACCTAAGGGAGGTCAATAGCAGGGTGGAGGACATTCACCCCACCGTACCCAATCCCTATAATCTCCTCAGCGCATTGAATCCGTCAAGGACTTGGTACACTGTTCTGGATTTAAAGGATGCCTTTTTCTGTTTGCCTTTGCACAAAGATAGCCAGCCCTTATTTGCGTTTGAATGGATGGACCCTGAGACTGGGTCCGCCGGACAACTGACCTGGACGCGCCTCCCACAGGGCTTCAAAAACAGCCCAACCATCTTTGATGAAGCCCTACATAAGGATTTAGCCCCCTTTCGGGCTCAACACCCAAACCTCACCCTTCTTCAATATGTAGATGACTTGCTGCTGGCTGCGGACTCTGAGGGTGACTGCACAAGCGGAACTCAGGACCTTTTACGTGAGTTGGCTATCCTGGGGTATAGGGCATCAGCAAAAAAGGCTCAAATTTGTAAGCGAGAGGTAATTTTTCTGGGCTACTCCTTAAAAGGGGGAAAAGGATGGCTCACTGAGGCCAGAAAACAGACTGTGGTCCAGATTCCCCCTCCAAAGAGTCAAAAACAATTACGAGAGTTCCTGTGTACCGCGGGGTTTTGCCGGTTGTGGATCCCTGGATTCGCAACTTTGGCAGCTCCCCTGTACCCGTTACTGAAGGGGGGATCTCCCTTTATCTGGGAAAAAGATCACCAGCAGGCCTTTGATGCCATCAAGCGGGCTCTCCTGTCCGCTCCGGCCCTGGCCCTTCCTAATGTGGACAAACCCTTTACTCTCTTCATTGAAGAAAAGAGAGGAATAGCGAGAGGAGTACTGACCCAGGCCTTTGGGCCATGGAGGCGTCCGGTGGCTTACCTCTCAAAAAGACTGGACACTGTGGCAAGCGGGTGGCCACCCTGCCTAAAGGCCATTGCATCAGCTGCCTTGCTCATTAAAGATGCTGACAAATTGACTTTGGGACAAAAAATAACAATCATTGCCCCGCATACACTAGAAAGCATCATCCGCCAGCCTCCAGACAGGTGGCTCTCAAATGCCAGAGTTACTCATTATCAGAGCCTCTTGCTCAACAAGGACAAGATAACTTTTGGACCCCCGGTGACTCTCAACCCAGCGACTCTGCTGCCGGAAGAAGCTTCGGAACCCGTCCTCCATACCTGCCAGGACGTCTTGGCAGAAGAGGCCAGAGTACGACCGGACTTATTGGATTGCCCCCTACCCAATGCAGAGGTGACCTACTTCACTGACGGGAGTAGCTTTTTGATTCAAGGTAAGCGGTATGCGGGGGCGGCTGTGACTGATTATTCCAATGTTATATGGACAGCCAGACTAGAGGACGGGTCCTTGGCCCAAAAGGCCGAACTGATTGCTTTGACTAAGGCTCTGGAGCTCACCAAAGGAAAGCGAGCAAACATTTACACGGATAGCCGATATGCCTTTGCAACGGCCCACATCCACGGGGCCATATACCGCCAGCAGGGGCTTCTGACCTCCGCAGGAAAAGAAATAAAACACAAACAGGAAATCCTTCAGTTGCTCGCTGCAGTTATGTTGCCCCAGAAGGTGGCGATAATACACTGTAACAGCCACCAGAAAGGGACTGATCCCGTCACAAGGGGAAACAACCTGGCCGATGAGGCAGCAAAATCTGCAGCCATGGGAGACTCACAAATGTTGGTGACTGATGTCGAAGATTCTCCTCCAAAGGAGAAAGCTCAGATTAACCAAACCCCTGAAACACCTGATCTGACTGCTTACATACAACAGGCCCACCGGCTCACCCATTTGGGAGCTAAAAAGCTGAGCCTACTGGCCCAACGCCAAGACTTCCCAGGGGCATCCCCCGCTGCCATACGTCGGGTCGCCAATCGGGTTGTGGCTAATTGTGAGGCATGTCAATTGACCAGTGCCTACCCTGCCAAGCTGGCCCCCGGCAAAAGGCTACGTGGTACCAGACCTGGACAATACTGGGAAGTGGACTTTACAGAAGTTAAGCCTGCCCGATGCGGACTAAAATATCTGCTAGTTTTTGTAGACACCTTTTCTGGATGGACTGAGGCTTTTCCTACCAAAAAGGAAACTGCTGCCGTGGTAACTAAAAAGTTGATGGAAGAAATATTTCCCCGGTTCGGATTGCCAAAGGTAATAGGGTCCGATAATGGACCGGCGTTTGTGGCTAAGGTAAGTCAGGGACTGGCCAACATATTGGGGATTGATTGGAAGTTACATTGCGCTTATAGACCCCAAAGTTCAGGACAGGTAGAAAGAATGAATAGAACTATTAAGGAGACCCTCACTAAATTGGCTCATAAGACTGGCTTAAAGGATTGGACGATGCTCCTGCCGTATGCCCTTTTTCGCGCGCGAAACACCCCGTCTGCCAAACCCCCTAACCTTACTCCCTTCGAAATCCTTTTTGGCACTCCACCCCCCATTCGAGATCTCACTCCCTTAACTGAGCATGCTGCCTTGTTGCCAACCTCCCTGTCTGACAGGCTTATCGCCCTTGACAATCTACAGAGGGACGTGTGGACACAGCTAGCCTCGGCCTATGCTCCCAGTGAGTTCCCCGCGCCACATCCGTACCAGGTGGGAGACTTTGTGTTCGTCCGGCGCCACCAACAAGAGACTCTACAGCCTCGCTGGAAAGGACCATACCAGGTCCTATTGACTACTCCTACAGCGGTAAAGGTTGACGGAGTCGCCTCTTGGATCCACGCGTCACATCTAAAGCCTGCTTCAGCACCAGAGGACGACTCCTGGGAACTCAAACGGTCTGATAACCCCTTAAAACTTAAGCTGAGCCGAAAGACTCTTTAATGCTGTTTCTGTACACTCCCTTTGTGTATTATTGCGAGATGACCCAACAAAAACCCCAGGTTGTAACCCCCTGTGCTATAATGAAATTACTCATGTTAATGGTAGTCACCCCTACAATAGCGAACCCCCACCGCCCTTGGGTCTGGACATTAAGCTGATGGGACAACCCAAAAGAGGTCGATAAGTGGACAGGTTCAGGCCATCCAACCTTTAGTTTCTATTCCTGTGATATTGTTCCTCTTGACCCTAACGTTGACCACCCCCCAGAAATATATCTATGTCCCGCGTCTGTGGAAGGAAGGAGTTATTGCAATTCCCCAGGCGAATACTATTGTGCCTACTGGGGATGTGAAACGATGGCCACAGCATGGACCCCCTCAATAAAGGACCGACACCTTAGCTTATCAGCAACAGGAGGAGGCCAACATAAAGGCCCTTTGCCACTGTCAAAAAGGAGCCTCCACTCCTATGATGGAGGACCAGGTAATTGCCGACATTTACAACTCGAGGTCCTCACCCCCGAGGACCAATCTTGGACGACAGGAAAAATCTGGGGATTTAGATACTACATGAGTGGACCTGACACAGGAGGGCTCATTTTAATTAAAAAGAAGCTAAAGACAGAGCCATTGTTGCCCACACCTGCTCCAACAACAGCTAGGGGGCCCTCATCCCCCATGCCTGTGACTACCCAAAGCCAAGAGCCCATGGTCTCACCTCGCATCCCCTCAGGGTATTTAACTAATCCTCCTGAGTCGGGACTCGTCCCTCCAACCGTGAACTCTCTCCTCAGTCTTATACTTGGGGCTCATAAAGCCCTCAATCTTACCCATCCAGACCTAGCCCAAGCTTGTTGGTTATGTCTAAAGGCTAACCCTCCATATTATGAGGGGACTGCTCTAAATGACTCCTATACGCTGACTCCCAATCCCAACCAGTGCGACTGGGATCATGTGTTCCACACCCTTCCTTTACCTGACCTCGCTAGCCGAGGAACCTGTATAGGGACACTTGATAATTGGCCTACAAACCTACGCCGTCGCTGCCTCACACATACTCGCTCCTTCCCCAGGAACCAATACCTCATCCCTCCTACCGGGGCATTCTGGTTATGTACTACAGAGCTCACCCCTTGTGTCTCCACAAATGTACTCCTGGCAGGGGACAGCTCCTGCATCCTTATAGACCTTATGCCACACATTAAGTATCTCCCCCCTAACATGCTCTCCCTCATGAGAGGTCGATATAAACGGGAACCTGTCTCCCTGTCCCTAGCAGTCCTATTGGGGATAGGTGTGGCAGGGGGGATAGGAACTGGTACAGCAGCCCTCATTACTGGGCACCAGTCTCGCCAGCAGCTTCTTGCAGTAGTAAACCAAGATTTAAAGGCCTTAGAGACTTCTATAACTGCATTACAACAGTCTCTCTCGTCCCTATCTGAAGTAGTGTTACAAAACAGAAGAGGCTTAGATCTTTTGTTTTTAAAGGAGGGCAGTCTCTGCGCCACACTTAGAGAAGAATGTTGTTTTTATACTGATCATACTGGGATTGTAAAAGATGCAATGGAAAAGTTGAGAGAGAGAATCAGATCTCGAGAGCCCCCTTCAAGTGAAGCCAAAGTGTTCTCTTTTTGGGAATCAATCCTGCCCTATATTCTCCCTTTATTGGGACCCCTGACTGGATTCATTATAGTCATGGCTATAGCCCCTTGGCTCATTAACCGAGTAACCCAGTTTGTGAGGGCCCAGATTTCTCAAGTAAAAGTTATGGTGCTACGCCAACAATATGATCCCTTACCCATACAGGACCTTTAAGATTAAAAGTCATGGAAAAAAAAAGGGGGGGAATGTGAGAGTTGACCCCCCTGCTATAACCCCCTCCCCGAGTTATAAAAAGCAGCAAAGAATGTTTCACTCCCTAAACCTTTCCCAGGAGATAATCAGAGCAGGGCAGGAAGGAATGTCTCTGCTAGTCATTAGCCACTAGATGTTCTGTTCTCTGTAAAGATAGAGATAAGTAAAAGAATGTGCTGTTTAAACAGGACTGGGGTGCACCTGGCACTCCAAGGTCAAACCAAGACCCTCGGTCTCCATGGTTACTCAGCCCCAGACTCTCAAATCAGCATCAGCCAAGTCCTGCGCCATTCAAAATTAACCAATGCGATTCGCTTCTGTAAACTTGCTTGCCTCCCGCTTGTACCCTTAAAAACCCTACACAAATTTCCCTCGGGGCCCCTCTGCACTCCTTTGCCTGGGGGACCCCATGCGCATGGAAATAAACTTTTTTCCTCACCAAGAGTTGAGTCTTGGGGTCTATTTCCCTGCGGCGTTGGCCCTAACATTACCTAAGAGAAATTTGAAAAAAGGGCGAATTCAGCAGCCAAGAATTTCTCAAATGCCCTTGTCGTTTTAAAAAAAGTGACATAAAGTTGAGCGCGTCATGTCCATGTCTCTTTACAAAAGATTTTACCTCCTATTTGATAGGAATTACTGTTTCTTTGAAAGGTCAACCTGCACTGACATAAAGAGAATCCCTCCTTTCCTCATTCTGCTTGAAACCACATCCATTGTTAGTTATATTTTCTTACCCAGAAACACTTGGAGATGACTACAGCAAGAGTTTCCAATTGGTGGAATTTCCACAGATACACAAGAAGTAATACTGCACAACTTCAAGTGAAGTGCACTGTCCCTTGACAATGGCAAGTCTGGGCAAACCTCTAGTAACTGAAAACCTTAGAAAGTCTGAAAGTGAGTGAATGAAAATGGGCCTCTCCACATTTGGACAGGGCCTCTCCTGAAGCACACATTTGTGGAAAAAGTAATTATGAGAGAGGAATGAACTCCCAAAACAGAATGGAAATTTTCTTGTTTAGGCCTGGAATGCAATGGCCTGGAGCCCTGTGGTTCTAACTGGATGAGCAAAGTGTGAGCAGAGATCAAAGTAAAACGCATACCATTTAGGGAACTCAATATTTAACCAGGCGTGCAGAGTAGTGGCAAACTGTACTTGTGTCAATTTGCTCAAATCCTGTCTTCACAAGATAGTAAATTCCAGCACGACCAGTGACTAGAGTAGGACACATTTCAAAGGACTTGTAAAAAGTCCAACACTGAATGTAGGCCAACACTGAATTTAGATGAAAAGTAGCAGAGTCTCTTTGTATTTCAAGTTTTAATAGCAGAAACTTATAACATGTAATAGCTGTTACATGAATAACTTCAGAGCTTTTGGAGAGGTCTAAATCACTATGAGTAAATGCTTCCCTGAGTCACAAAGTTAAAAATAGTAAAAGAAACAATTTGAAAAACCAATCAACCAATAAAATACAAACACTAAGTCCAAAGGCTTTCACTGGTTTTAAAACCACTTATGGAATGCATAACTATTGAAGAGGCTTACTCTGCTTTCTGCTTTACTCAGGCCGGTACATGAGCAAATGTAAAAGCAAAATTCAAAATGCTATATGAAGTGACCATTTCATTGTTTAAACCATGACCCAATAGACATTTTCTCTTTTGAAACTTCGTACATTATCCATATATGTTCTCAAATGGAAGGAATACACAGGATTTAGGCTGAATTTTTTTGCAGTATTTTGTGTTCCACCAGATTTATCTGAAGATCTCCTGTCCTGCATCCACTGGCCAATGCATAAGGCCGCACATAGGACAACCAACATGAGAAGTTCACTTCTACAGCCTGAATATATCATCATGAGAATATAATTTTCCTTTCATCATCAAAGATTTTTATATCAGAATAACCAGTTCTCTTGCTTTCCCATGTTTTTCCCTGGTTTTTGTACCTTGAAATGGGTGTGCACTCTTCTCAGACTTGATCTCCATCTTCCCCCGTATTTCCAAACATATTCATCTGGGAAACATGTAAAGATCTTATTCGGAGCTTGTTTCATTGTTTTCAAATATCTGCCCTTGAAATTCAACTTCCACCACTGTGTCTCATATCCAAAGCTTTGTGCTTGCGGAGGATTTCTGCTGAGAAATTTCACAAAAAGCTCTTATACTGCAGGTGAATGATGCCAGCAAGTCTTGACTGAATAGCTTAGGGAACAGGACTCAGCCAAATGACAGACATGACAAGGGAAAAGCGTATGCTCAAGGATAAGACATGGCAGAGATCATCTGCCAGGCCCTGGCATATTTCATATCCCATTGAAAGTACATCCATGTGTAGTTTGGCAAGCATTTCCATCCACAAATTCTGAGCAGTGAAGCCTTCAGAGAGAATATTGTGGCATACCAGGCCAAGAATTTTCATCCTATTTAAATCTTGCCCTACAAGGTCCTCTGTGCCACTGAGGTCTCCATCGCAACGCCCAGCATTGTGACTCAGGTCTCCTACTGCACACTTGTATCCTAGAGCCTAAAGTCCAGCTCAAAATGGTGCTCAGCCAATCACAGCCCAGTGTGGTTGCCTGGCAACCACAAGCTTGTGGATTTCTGTGAACTGTTTCAGCCCAACTCTGCAGCTTTCCACCTCATACAACCACAGCCATTCCAATCGTGCAATATTTGATTAGCCTCGCTATGTTGCCTGAGAATTTTTTTACAGTTGTAGTGATCAAGAAAATTTGACATATTTTGAGAAGTGGAGGGAAGTAATTGGAAAACATTTTGGTATGTCTGAGGCCTATGGGTTCCAAACTTGAGTAACCCAGTCTTTTAAATTTTCAAACCTAGAGCCTAAAATCCACCTCACAGTGATGTTCAGCCAATCTCAGCCCATTGTGGTTGCCTGGCAACTACAAGCCTGTGGATTTCTGTGAACAGTTTCAGCCCAACTCTGGAGCTTTCCACCTCATACAACCAAAGCCATTCCAATCATGCAGTATTTGATTCAACTCTCTAAGTTGCCTCAGAATTTTCTTTGAAGTTGTGGTGATCAAGCAAATTTGACATATTTTGACAAGTGGAGGGAAGTAATTGGCTCTGTCTTTAGCTCTGTTGGTGGTACATGGGGTCCAAACTTGACTACCTCAGTCTATTCAGTTTTCAAACTTAGAAAGCCAAAGGTTTCAGGGGATGAAAGAAAATGCCACAATGATGTGGGTTCTGCTGAGTTTCTGGTGGCTTGGGAAGCAAACCTGCAAACCATGCATGCAGTCTCTGCTGGATTACTGCCACCATGGTAGTATCAGTTAGCACTAAATGCCAGCAACCAGAAGATGAGTCCCAAAATGAAAGTGAATCCTTGCAGTGCATGAATATTTGGAGTGCCCGCTTCAACTATCCAGCTTCCTCGGGGTTCACTTGTCTGCAATCGCTATTTCAAGGAGGTCTGCAGCCATTCCAGCATAACCCTGGACACTAAACATGAGGTACTGGCTCAATACCTAAACCAACATAATGCTAGATAGCTTATCACCAGCAGGTTTTCCCAGAATTCAAATGTAACATGGTGAAAGGGAAACCATTAGAAAAGGGACGCAAATGCCCCTTTCCCTAAAAATCCCAGGTATTTTCTCATGGCATGGAATATTTAGACTCCACAACTCATGTAGTGAACCCAGGGACTTAGACCAAGGGTGTCTAGGTTTCTGTTGTCCTCTT